CAAGCTTCTGAAAGACATGGAAATTCGATATTAAACAATATATCACAGTCGGTCCAAAACTTTTTGGATTTTGGTTTGTGCAATGTACCACTGAGCCATATACTATTTAGCTAGGCATTTACTATTTTAAATACAAAACCGTGGTTAAATAAACCCTAAAGGCATCGGGCTCATACATACATATATATATATATATTTACATTTATAGGTGGATAGGTGCGGAGAACCTGGCCGGTAGTTCTTCAGTCCTTCCGAGAAGACATGCTCCACTCGTCTGACGAAGCAAGACATGGCTTCGGCGAAGGAAAATTAGTCTGCTAGGGTTCCGGTGAAGCGTCTTGGCTTGCGTGTGCTTTGGTTCATGCTTTGATGTGGAGCGTTTGCTGGCTCAACCGTCATCTCAGAGAGAAGTGTGAACAGTTGCTCTCGCGAAATCCCAGTGCAGGCAACAACAAGACATGCACACATCAGGTTGCGCCGTCGCGGCGGAACCGCCTTCTGGCTGATCTCCAGACCCTCGTTTTGAAGATCGGTGATCAAGGATAGAGCCTTCACAGCGTGCTAATGCGTGCTATCGCAGCAGCTATTCAAATTCTTGACTCAACATGGACCGCTGGACGCTGTACATAGAGGCGAGATGAGGCGCGCAACCTGTTGCCATCGTCCACTCGGAACGCCTCAGCAGCAGGACTGGTCATACTTGAACAAGTGTCTCCTCGGCAACACAAAGCTCACGGGAAGCATGTTCAGGGTCCCGACAGGCCGCGATTGCAGCCTCGACTGCGACGCCTTCCAGCACATGGAAGGAGCGGGCACACGAAACACGTGTTCTGTGCTGGCCCGTCGTGGAAGCCTCTGTTCTCATCGAGGAAAGCCAAGACCTACCACAGATGAACTTCCGTCTCAACAGCTTGAAGATTTCTGATGGCTTCATTCTGGAGAGGCATGGGCCGGGCAACTTGCAAGGATGGCCCCAGCCTCATTGAGAAGACCATGCCTTCCGCAGCGCTGGAGCCTCAGAAGGAAGGCGGGTCAAGACCCGCCAAGACAGCGCGAAGTAGAAATCCAGGATGACCATCATAATACCAAGCAGCAAAGAGTCATCTGGTGTTCGCCCTTCTTGTCTTGCCTCATCCAGGAGACGCCGGAGTCGCTTCTGCTCCTGACACTCTGAGTGCACAGCAGACATGCATTGCTGCACTGGCATCTGGAATGTTAGTCCAGCGCCCAATGGCAGCCGCTTCACATCGCTTTACCTTCACGTGGGCCGACATTCGACGTCCCTGGCTCAGCACGCATCTTGGACGCATGCTAAGCCTGCAACATATACAAATCGTGACTAGCAGACGTCAACACTCAGGGATCAAAGCAGTGAACCAGTGCCATTTCTCTGTCGCCACTGGGGCCCACCATGTTCCAGCACTTGTGTCGTCTTCGCTTTACTCGTCGTCTTCGCTGCCGCTTCCACCTTTGCAGTCATGCCGCAATCTGCATCCGCTGCACAACCTCACATCACACCGTTCACACCTAAAAGTGTGACGACCACAACACGAGTGCCAGCTGTCCGTGCCCGCACATTCGCAGCGCTCTACCTTGCCGTCAGCAAAGCATTGCCAACAATGCGTCTTGCTGAAATCTGGACATTCTGGACATCGCAAGTGAGAAGGACCGCGTTCTGCGCAGTCATCACACCAATGCCCGTTGCAGCCTTCGCAGTCAAGACCAGAAGAGTCTTCAGAAGAGTACCACGTGCCACATGTCTCACACTGGTTGACTTCGCCGTTCCGCACCATGTGGGCGATATCGAAAACCTCTGTGAAATACTGTTTGCCGTCGCTGTCCTTTTGTCGCTCTGGCCACGGAACAGTCTTGCCATCTTGATTCTGCAGGACTTCCGAGATGTAGGCTTGACACAAGCCTTCCCAGAGTTGCCGCCTCAAAACAAAGTCTTTCGCCGCCTTGCTCACTGCCTCTGCCGCTGCCAGCTCTACGCCATCCAAGAATGGCAGGACGTGTTTGATGGACCTCTCGCCCATGCATGAAGTGAACAAGGGCGCCCTCTGCAAAACTTGAGCCAAGAGAAAGCTCTAGAAAGCAGCACAACTTCGGAGGCGATCGTCATTCTAACAAGACCAGCAGTATTAGTATTGTAGCCCACAGCCCCCTGCAACCAATGCTCCTTGTCAAAAGGCTGGTCGTCCAGGGATGCCATTACTTCGCGCGGAGACGGCTTTTTCGAGCGGACGTCCAGCCAATCAAGCGTTCTGGCACTCCCGATTGCACCTGGGCGTAACACGGAGGTCCCCCATTTCAACTTGTGCAGAACTCACAGATTCCACGGCACTGCTTTCCTCCATGCTGGTGCTCTGTCCATCTTGCCTCAAGAAGCATGTGAGCTGGCATCGGAACAAGCAGTGGGGCCTGGGCATTTGTTACTGCAATGGCTCAGACAGCTGATCCTGCAGCTCTGGGCATCCGACGAAACGGACGTCGCCTGCCAAAGCACAAAGCCAAGAAAACACATGTCAACATGCTGTCAGTCAGTCTGTCAGTCGGCCACATGCCGGGCGGCACGTGGACAGGTAAGTGGCACGCCGCATGATTCAAATTAGCATTCTGCACAAGTTCGATTATCTCACGGAGCCTTTCAAGAAATTGACATGCTTTGTCCATCTTTGTCCCTAACATATGTGACACGGCCTCCCCGCTCCTCTCACATGCATACTTGCGGCAGGCTGCAGTGGTCGTATGCAGATCTAAAGGCCACAAGAGGGAAGTTGTCGTTTCAAGAGCATTCCTGTAGCCGCGGCGTCGCACGCTCTGTGCGGAACTTCCGTATTGGGCACTGTGGACTTGAAAGCGGATGGGATACCCAAAAAACTTCGTGTGAAACGGCTTTGAAACAAGATGTCGCCGATCCGTAGAAGCCAAAATCCAGCAGCTCAGGGTTCAATAAGAGCGGTTTTTTGATATGTGCCTTCCGATCCTGCGATAATGAAGAATGCCGCCAAACTTCGTGCAGTTCAAGACCCGCTTTGCCTTTTCCCATTCCCATTCTCCGAGCAAGCTCATGCCTTGGAGCATGCTCAGGATTTCCTATGATTGCATGACGTAATTGATTACACGCCTGAATGTCCACACCCAACAATTGTACGGCACAGTCCTTGGTTCCGATGAGTTGTTAAAAAACGAATGCTAGTAGCTACTGCCTGTCCGCTGCCCCCTGAACTTGCCTGACACCGCAGACCACACCGAAGTGCACGTTGTATCGCCTCCAATAGTGGCAACTGCCTCCCCGCTGTCTGGCGCAACCTAGGTCCAGGATTCCAAACCAAGGCAAGTGATGCAGCACGGCATCGTGGAATGAAGCAGCCCAGTCTCACAGAAAAGTGTTACATGGTATGGGGGTCGGTCACAAGTCATGACTGCACTGAACTGAAACTCATGCATCAAATCATATCAAACCACAACGCTCCGTGCCGGAGTTTGCCGTCTGCACCGGACGATGATTTTCACGACGCTCTTCCGGCAGTCACCGGAACTGGCAAGCTTTATCGCACACAGCCTTTGGCCGACAACTCTGCAGGTCGCAGATCTAGACCTCAATGCTAGCATGCAGCACCCTTTCTTCGAACGAGACTTGGCACTTGTTGCGTAGCATGACCTGGGCACCATGCTTGGTTGCGTCGATAACGAACATTTCAAGACACGTCGGAGGAGAGTGGTTCTATGGACCTAACCCGGATATGCGGGCCCGCGCTCTTGGGGCACATCTCAGGAATCTGGCTTCGCGTGTTGCTCGACCAAGACTTTCTGGCCTGGGTGCGAAATGGTGCGAATTATGCCCGTCGGAGAGCCAAGCGATTCAACACACACACACTCTCTCTCTCTCTCTCTCTCTCACATGCATAAGCATCCATGAGATTTGCAGACCAGCGTACGCTTTGCTTGCAGCCGTTCTCGGTAAATTGTACTTCGAGAACTGAAGAAGCCGTTCCCATCATCTTCATCTTTCACGATCCTGCGAGTGTCCTGGCACAATCAACCGGGCACAGGGGATCTGATGTCTTGCAGAGCCTACAAACCTGCTTCACGTCCTCTTCTGTCTTCAGCAGTCGCAGACTATCGTACCGGAATGTATCCAGCTCCTTCACCTTGGTGCTCACAAGCTCTCGACCCGGTGCTGGCCATGAGCCTCGTGTTCAGCAAGGCCGCAGAGACTGGAGGAATCGACACCGTCTGTAGAACGGTGAGAAGGTAGTCCACGTCAGGCTTTGCTCCTTTCAGCGGCCTCTTGGTTTTCAACGCATGTCAGCGGCTTGGAATTTCCCGAGATCTCTCTCACAACACCTTTCACAAGCTTTTGAAAGCAAGGTCTCAGGGCCTGGAAGGAAGCACCGCCAGTAGATCTTGGAGACACTTTGGAATCATCACCGGCAGCTGGGCTTTGTCTTCACGCTCCTGGCCTGCTTCCAGCTGCCTCTTCCGAACACTGGCAATGTCCAGCGCCGGTCTGAATGTCAACATCTTGGAGGTGTCCGGACGCGCTATGTGGGAAGAAAGCCCAATCGCCGGAGTTGCATTCCCCAAGCGTCTGTGATCACCTTCTGCGTCTGCAACAGATTGATCCTGTTAGGAGGCACAGTTCGTTTGCTAAAAATCCCTGGCTTGCTGAAAGCTGCTGATGTTGCAAACGTCTCGTTGTATGGATGCACTGGAGTTCAAGCCTCGAGCTGCACCGTTTCCACAACCTCTGCGTAGGCTGCAAGCTGCGGACGAGTTGACCTGCCCACGCTCGCACCGCGAGTCAGGAACTAGAACTGCAGGTCCTGCCTGGGAATCAGATGGAGAAAACGGAAACCTTCTTCCACTTCCTGGATTGAGGTGGACCTGCGCATTGTGCCGACAAGGAGTGAAGAAGCGCCGCAGTATTGTAATCAATGCAGGTCTTTGAGGCAGTGGCAGGCCCAAAGAGATGGGTGTTTGCAAGATATTCTCGGCATCTACTTCCAGGTCCCGCTGGAGGTTTCGATACTCCTGGATGGGCGAAGAAGCTGTTCCCTAGTTTTCCAGCAGTAGTGCAAATCATACTCACTTATTGCTGAAGCAAAGTCTCGGAATCGCGGAAGGATGTGGCACGTCGGACTGCCTCTGCATCGCCGAAGTAGCATTCTAGCCTGTTCAGAGATGTCAAGGGGTGTACACCTGGTTTGTACATGTACATTCTAGAGACTGCTAGTGGGTCCGCGAGATTTGGCGGCATGTTCGCTGGACCTAGTGCACATTCGCCCTCACAGGGCTCGCTCACCAAGGCCAGCAGACGGATCAAGTGCATCACTAGCGCATCAAACTCTCGAATTGACATGAACCAGCCGCAGAGAAAGTGAACTCTGTCAACTGGCATTAGTCCCGGCAGAATCCTCCACATCTTGTGCTGACAAGTCAAGAGTAAGTTTTACTCTCGCTCCCTACCCTTCACAATTCACACGCCTCAGCATGAAAACTTGCTCTGGCGAACCTGCAGAGATTTCTAACCTCTTTAGTCGACATGATTTGCGAACATGGCACTTATGCGGGTATAAGGTTGGACGTGTGATACCGCGTGTCGGAATTGCCGGGCACAAGAGGAGTTTCAATTATGTAGGGATCCAGGTCCATTTCAGGCTGAACCATACGAGGCCTCGGATCGCACCTTGAAAACGGGGCGGCAACTGAAATATTCGGTGCCGACAAATCAAACAGGTAGGGGCCAGGCCAGGAAAACTCAAACCGCAAAGAAGACGCAGCGTTCACTACTACTACTTACGACCACTATTCTGACTACCACTTCTGCTGCTGCTGCTGCTACTCCGCCTGCTGCTGCTGCTGCTGCTACTGCTACTGCTAGAGCTACTGCTACTGCGAAAGCTACAGCTACTGCTACCGCTACTGCTGCTGCTGCTGCTACTACTGCTGCTACTACTGCTGCTGCCGACTACGACGACGACGACTACTACTACTACTGCTACGGCTACTGCTACTACGACTACTACAACTACTACGACGACGACTACTATCTCTCTCCTGCTGCTCCTGCCGCTGCTGTTACTACTACCTCTACAGCTACTACTACTGCTGCTACGACTTCCGGTGACTGCCACTGCTACTGCCACTACTCGTATTACTACTATTGCTACTATAAATATATATATATATATATCTGTGTATATATATATACACATATATTTGCTTTTTTCTCTGTTCCTACTTCTACTGCTCATGGTAGACCCCAACCCGACAACGAGTTCATTATTGCGACCCGCAGTTCCCAGATCTGAGCCCCGATCAGCGCCAACCTAAACAATGCGAGGATGGTGTTTATGGTTACTTTTATTGCTATATTTTCCAACAATACCAGTCGCCTGCCTATGCAACATGCTTGCAACCCATTAGTAGTTGGGAGGCCTTGCCCACTTCTGCCACAGAAAAGCCAAACTTTCCCGGAGTCCAAGACTCTCCTGGGATCCACATGGCTTTCGACTGGTTATCAGAGAGAGAATCGGCTCGAAGGAAATTCAACAACGAGTCCTCGCGATTTGCCAGCCGATCGCGCACGGCCTGCATCGCCGGGCGGCACTTCGGCTGGGTTCGGGACGACAGCACTAAATTACAAACTCACCTGTTGCAGTCGCTCGAGGACACCCTGTGACAGCTCTGCACGCGCGCTGCGCAGATCGTTGCAACCTCGGTGTGTCCCGCTGATCGTGAGACGCCAAGGCTTTGACGATCCACACAAATACAAATCGGTGACGGTGTACTCGCTGATGCGCTGAGTCCAAGTAGCCGAGCAAGAAGTTCACGTAGGCGGCGAGCAATGCCGGCTCACGGTCCCCATATCGGTCCAGGCCCAAGCGGAAGACAGCAGCTGCCGCCTGCCGCTGAACCGAACTTGCTTTTTAGGCTGCACGCTTGGCAACACGCAGAAACAAAATGCAAAAGACATGAACGTTCAATGAGTCCTCGATGGAGCCGTATACATGATACTCCGTCATTGCCGCAAACACGTACACCTGCTTCACGAATAAAACGTTAGCATCAAGAGCATGGCAGCAATGGACACGTACTGGCAAAACAGCTGGCTCGTTCGCAGGCTTGTTGAAAACATGCCAGTTGCTCCTCCCAGCTGCAGTGCGGAGATGCCTCTGTCACTTCCAGGAATGTATCCCGGAAGTCATTAGCTCCCCGTTGTCTTCTAACCTTTGTGCGAATGACTCGCGAGGCACAAGGCCAAAATTACACAAGTGGACAATTCAACGAAGATCAATCACGTGCCCAAGCAGTGGCAAGCCTGCACTACGACCCAAGCTGTCTGCACAGGAGCATAAGCAAGGTAATTGATGAGCGCAAGCGGGCAAGGCTTCGGCATGTCTTCCATCAACTTCCTTACTTGCCGGAAGATGATCATCCGGGACCTGTGCTGTGTCCTGAACTGTCCTGAACGGTTCCAAGATGCTTGTACTCGTCGTCGGCTGCTTCCAGTTTGCTTGCCGCTAAGGGCGACTCGCCCAGCTCAAAGCGCTGCGCCAGCAGCAAACGCAGAGTCAGATCCTGAGGCAACTGCCATAGCTACGGTGTTGAATGCCAATTGGATGCTTCGAGGCCACCTTCGGCAGGAAGCGCTCCACTGCCTTGCGCAAGACATCCGTGGCCTCCTCCTGCTTCCCGCCTCAGCACAACCACACGGCCTCTCAGCTGACACATCCCAGAAGTGCGTGACTTATACCCTTGAGAGCCGCGGGCTGGTGGGACGAAAGCTCTATCGTGGGCCGGGCCGCTGAAAGACGACCCGGAGATGCATACATATCACAGACAGGCAAGAAGGCAGACAGCCAGACTTATACAGATATGCACATAAGTATGTGTACATGCATACATACATACAGACATGCATACATTCGTCAAAAATTCACACATACATACATACATACATACATACATACATTTTTGGCACTGATACATAAAGACATGCACACAGGCAGAAGTAGAACTATAGGATACTATAGTTATACACGCGTAAATGCACGGATGCAGACGCATGAAACGAAGAACTAGTCTCCGCAGAATGCAAGACCGGCCGAGACATGAACTGTGTTCACAAGAATCCACAATTCAACGCTGTCCAAGTGGAAAGGACCTTGAGGCAGGAGCTTCAGAAGAGTCCCCCGGTCCGCTCCAGCTGGGGCGTTTCTAAACTGGCCCCTAGAATTGGCCGGCTCACGTTGTGAGGTGTTAAACGAAGATGGGGAGCTTTCGTGACAAGAAGCCCAAGTCCAACCATGCGGAGAAGTCGAACCACAAGTCCGGAAAGAAGCCACATGCCAGCGACGCCTCAGGCCGGCGACTGGCTCGTCGCTAGCGGCTACGGTTCACAAAGTAGCCTGTTATCTTACCAGGTTGGCAAACTGTGTGTCACGTCGGTTGGGCACAAAGCATGTGAGCAACCTTCTTGTACAACGGTGACCTCGCACAAAGATAAAGCCGGACTCGCCGAACTTGAGGCTCCAGGCATAACACGAGATACACAAGTCAATCGATCGCAAGTGCCCAACGCAAGTCCCAGAACACCACGAGCCTTCAATCCAACCTCGATGCAGTCCAAACAGCCCCGGGACTGGGGATATTGAGACTTAAGTTTGTCTTAGGCAGAATCCCTTCTTCAGCCCTTTGCCTGCTGGTAGACGAGGGCAACCCGTGCAGTCAGCTCTTCGGTGCCCAACTGGAGCGGGTTCGTTCGCTCGAAGCGTAGCACAGCCCGCCATTTCTCAAACCTTGAAGGAAGGTCTACTTTTGATCAGGATACCATACCGCACGATGCCTGTGAGTCAAGGGGCAGTTTGCTCTGGTCGGCCACATTCTGTGGTGTCAGCGGCACAGCCACCGCATAGTGATCGATGTTCGCGGCCAGTTGCGAGAGCTCCTGCGCTGGGCTCTCGGCTCTCTACTCGAACTCAAACCTTGAAGGTCCCCCAATGTGTTCTTAGCGACCCCACCGCTTCACCGATCGCGGTGGGAGCTGCGCTCGGCTTTTCCCAGATGGGGGCGATGGGTTTTGGGCAGGATCATTCCTCCCATGGACAGATCCAGGAGTTAATCTGCATATCAGACCTCATGTGCAGACACAGACGAGTACATGTGCTCCTCTCGTTGGCTTGGCTTTGGCCTGACTTAGTGAATTAGCCAGTTACTCCAAGGGTTTCCACCTTTCATGTTGAAGTCAAGCAGCCGCAAACCTTGCAGACACCGACAGCCCGTGCCACCCCGCTACGCTTCCAATGGGGTCTGCCGGCCAGCTGTATAAGGCAAGTGGAGAAACCGAATGTCGTTTTTTGCAACCCGAAAGAGCCCATACAAAGCACGCGGCGCAAAAGAAATGGTTGGACGAGACTTTCACGTGAGGCACCTGGAATTTACAGTACAAGTGCCTGCTTGACAGCTACCCAGAGCTTGCCGAGCGTTACAAACGCCAATTCTAAGTCGAAAGGTATCTTCTCCCTCCCGCAGCCGTGCCTTGTATGCTGCTTTGCCACGGACATACCGCGGCATGTGCTCGGACATCAGCTTCGCCGCTAAGGCAGGATTGCCCTGGAAGCGATGAATTTCCGAGTCCGGCACCAAACTCAACTAAGGGGTCATTGCGCAGCGAAGCGACGGCGAGGCAAGCAGCGGCCTGCGATTTTTCGAACTGCTCGTAGCCCACCCAAAGCTTGTCCATGGTGCTGTGCGAAGCCCCCGCACAGCGCTGGAAAACGCAACGTAGGAAATCCGTGTCAATCCTGAGAAGTGCAGGCATGCAGCGATACGTGCTAAGGAGCTCACGGCCACAATGTATTCTGCTAACCTGCACACAAGTCGCTTCAGAATCTCCGACACACGAAGGAATTCTGCATCTGATATGTCTGCGGATGCCCGCCCAGCTTCCTCCTTTTGCCAAGACGAAGCAGCCGGCAAGAGTGTGGTGTGGAAAGAGAAGCACGATAAGTGGAGGACCCCATGAATGCTTCGATGGCAACACAAATCCAGCGTTCAACTGATCTTGACGTGCACGCAGTGACGCACGATCTCAGGTTTTTGGTGTGTCCTGCTTTTGCTTCAGCGCGGGCTTCAGTGTTCGTCGCGCACTGTCAATTGGATTCGGGTCTTCGGCCAACAGCTTCCCCTGTAGTTCTGCATCCGGGTTCTCCTGCGCAGTGCAAAGCCTCTGCAAATCACTCACAGGGGATCAGCAGCAGAGGTCGGGTGAATGATCTGCCAATTGCTTCCGGCACTTGTCCTTCTTCTGCTGGACATTGTAGGCATGCTTCAACAGAGCGAGATAGTCAGACCAAACTGGTGCAGCCTCAGAAATGCAACCCCTGGTTGGCGTGGCGAGGGTGTGCTGACCTGGGCTCCCACGCCCGCCAGTCGCTGCCGAGAACATCAAGGGCTCTGCCATAGGATCGCAGGACCTCCTCGAGCGTCTGATGCCGCTTCGAGAAGTTCAGGAAAGACAACCAAAGGTCCAGATTCGGCCTGTTGTCAATGCAAACTGGGGAGACTTGCTGTTGGAGGCCGGCATCTGCCACGTACTCAGGCCGCCACACTTGCTGTAGACACCGGCTGTACACCCCCAAAGCCACTGCAGAGTCCTACAGTCGCAGTCTGGCTGCAAACCCTGCACAGAAACTTCGCTCATCCATGACAGCTTCGTGCCTGCATCTCGGACCATTCGGCATAAGCCGCCCAGATGCGAGCTGCATACGGCAGCTGTGTCACGGCCCGCTCGAAGACCGGCTCCGCTTTGCCCTCCTCGCAAGTTTCCGAGGTGCGGCGTGTACCGGCATAAATAGCGTACCCTTCCACCGGTATCCTGGATCGCCTCACGCAGTCGCGCATCCCAACTGTTGAGATCGAACGGGTCTGCCTCGATCGCGGCGTCCAGCCTTGGAATTACGAAGTTCATTTCATCCGGAGTTTCGACCCGAACCTCTCCGTCCTTCAGCGGAATGATGCACAAGCAAATCTTGCATCCACGAGACGCCTTAATGCGCACACCTGGTGGCTGTGCTGCCAACTGTGCTTTGGGTGGCACCTCAGGTCACTTCACACAGCTCAGGTCAGATCTGATTACCGAATCACTCTCTGACCGCTTCGTCTCCGAGCACCTGCACTGGGGCTTTGCCCTGTGGCGGCGGCTGTGCCGAAGCCTTCGTGCTCGCGGACAGCATGGCAGAGCCTGGTGTGGAGGCGGAGCCTTAGACTTAGATGCTCAGGCAAGATCGCAGATAAAGGCACAGGCATGACTTCGGGCGCAGCGGTTTGTGCAGGACGAGAGGCTCTTTGCCATCACGAAAGCCATTGCTGCCATACCGGTTCTAGGATCTGAAGTGTGAAATGTGAGCAGTTGCTGGGCTTTTTTGAAGCCTTTCGGCTGGCGAGGACGGTGCTGCACGTGAAGGTGCCTGATGTTGCTATCATGACAATCCCTACATTGCACAAATAGGAGCCATGTGAGTCAGTGTGCTGGGCTGTCTTGAAAAATTGGCACTCATTTGCGACCATACCAGCTACTCGTACATCCTGACAGTGCGACCGACAATGCATGGCATGGCGTGCCGGAAAGGGAACACGGTCTGGCTTGTGATCGAGTTACCCACTGCCTGCAAAGCGAACGGCGCCGGGACGCCCACACCACCTCAAGCGGCTACCGAACAAGTGCCAGAGTCGCCGTGGCCTTGCTGCCGTGTGACCCCGGCCTGATCGGCAGCAAGACATGAAGGACTCGAAGACCATGTAGTGGAGCAGAACGGAAATCCGTGACCATGGCACCTAGCAAGCTCGGCAGCAAGCATCAACGCTTCCACAAATCATCCAATGGACCATGCGCCATGTGGCCCCGAAGCCCACACCCAATGCATGGAACTGAGCACACCGTGCTGGAAACGACGAGCTTCGGAACCAACTAACCACGAATGATGCTGCAAACCCTGCTCGGCCACTATTGATCTGCACTCCCTCCGGTCCTTCGGACATCATTGGACCCTTCACGAACCGGCCTCGTCTTTTGCTGGCACCCGATGGCTGTTTTGTCCAGAACTGCGCCCAGCAAGCCACAGTGTTGCACGAAGAAGCTCCCAACGAATCCTTCAGTCATGGCCCGCACTAGTCACTAGTTTCACCTGTAATCGGCAAAGCAGTTCGGAGGCATTGAAGCTATGAGACTTTCGCCGCGTCTTTGCCATGCATCCGCCGCGACGCACACAAGATCTCCGTGCAATCATGCGCAGCTGCCGTCCTCCAGGCATGAATAGCCACGCCAGGACCTTGCGACGACAGCTCATATCCGAACAGGCAGCATTTAGCAAAGCTAAGCAGGCAACAGCATCAAGCGCAACTGCACTGTGAGCGATTTGCTTCCGACATTTTCCAACATGATGGCACACTTGGATCTGTCAAGCATGAAAACTAGCTATCAACCTTTGACCTGCCACTCGTGAAACGCAATCTTCTGCCGCCCATGCCCATGGAATGCCTGGTGAAACAAGCTGCATTCAGAAGAAGGCCGGCGTTGCCAGATGAGATGTTTTCCCAGCTTTTTTGGATGCTTGTGCCTCCATGGACTCCATGGATGTGACCTTCCCCTTTTTGATCATGTTGTCGATCTTCTGCCACTGCTGATTCTCGTTCATTTTGCGCTTCTTGGCTTCTGCACCTTTCTTGTTAGCCGCAACGCTGTCTTCTGCCGTGCCCTTTTTTCCATCTTTTCCCTTCTGCTTCTTCTTCTTCCCATCGTCGTCGTCGCTGTCATCACTGTGCGTGGTCATCATGGCTCCGCCCATCATTGAACTTGGGAAGAGCTCATCGTAGGCTTCGTTGCCTCAGCGTTATCCACCAGGTCAGCAGAAGCCAAGAAGCAAACACCTTGATCAGTAAAACCTTCCAGTCTATGCCCGGGACCAGGATTGCCCATGCCCTGCGCCCCGCTGCTCGCTGCAGCTGGCTTCCGCTTACGTGGATCCTTCTCCTGCTGCTTGGCAGGATCTGCGGGCTTGGCCGCCTTCTTCGGCGGTATCTCCTGCGCTCGCAGAACGCGTGTCAAACATGAACTGTTTGGTCTCACTTCCTGCCATGAAGATGGCAAGGCTGGCACGGTAATGACCTGAGAACCGTCCGGCCTCATAATACCCGAGCCCTTCGTCGCCCAGCTTGAACACCCAGTTTTTGCCTCATGCTCAAGCGCAGAGATTTCTTCACACAGCGCCCCCCATCGACATGTACCTATGCCAGGACCTATGCTGGAGGGATCTGCAGGGACAAGCTGCGAGCTCCGCGAAACTTTCTGGAAGCCTCGAAGCGGCCCGTGGGTTTGTGAAACTCTCCAGGCTCCAAGGTCGACTCCTGCGAGGTTCTGCGAGACTTCTGCGATGTCCTGCCCTTTGGGCCCCTTCAGAACCACAGTTGGCTGCTCGGCTCGAAGTGCTTAGCCACGTGCGTCCTCCACCTCGATCTCCTCCAAATCAAGCTGGCGATCCGGTGCCTTCCCTGAGCGATCAGGGAAGCATCCTAATCAATTGCATGCAACTGACCAGCAAGAACACAGCCAAGCATCTGTACTTCTCGTCCCCGGCATCATCAAAGTAAGAACTTTTCTTGGGCTTCTCCTTCTCTAGGGAGACCTCCTTCTCCTGCTTCACGTCCGCATTATCTCGCTTGGCGGCTTGCTCTGCTCTGGCCTTCCGGACAATCTCCTAAGTTGCAATTTTTTATGCAGACCTCACCCAAAGCTAAAGCGTCTCGTCGACGGCAAGCGTGACTGAAGCTCCTAGCTGGTAAATCGAGGCTAAGGCACATTGACATCAAAGGCTCCTGCACCAGCAAAGATGTCGTTGTCGCCGTCTCTGGCCTTGACCTTGGAGACTTCGATCTTCTGGGCAGTGGTGTAACTTGCGCCTGCGCGGCACATGCTACCTTCAGATGGGCAGGACACAGAGTATTCACACGGAAGAGCCCGACACCTGCTCCGAGGTTTTTTTGCAGTTTCCGCTGCTTTTTATCCTCTGCTGCCTTCTGCATGGCATTTCGAACCTCAAGAACATGCTTCTGCACCAGTAGCTGGGGCTGTTCTCCATGTGAAGCGCTGGAAGAAGCACATCGGCAACATAGCTCAGCTTGCCACTCTAACCGCAGTTTCTGGAAGCATTCCGGAAGATCGCTTGCCCATTTCACTCACAGGAACCTCCTCGGAACGCTTCAAAACTGTCTTTTGGCGGGAACACCTGTGCAAGCTTGTTTGACGTCGCACAAGCCCTTGCATGTTGGCTTAGAATACGCTTCTTGTCCGCTCGTCCTCCTTGCTCATGTAGACGATTCGGGGGATGTCCGTTTTGCCCATCTCCAGATCGGTGTCAAACTCGAAGGCCATGCGCCCGGGCAGAAAGACCGAGGGGGCATTTCTGATCCGATGGCCCTGCCGAATTTGATGGTGCACCAGGCATGACACGGACAGGAACAGCATGGCTCAAGTCTGCATGCTATGGTGTCCTGCGCTATGGCCTTGCCCATCTTTTGCACCCGCTCCTCATTCAAGCAGACATGTCGAGAGACAGTCACCCGACATGTCAAGGTACAGTCAACAGTTCACCAGTTTGTCCTTGAAGGTGCTGTGGTGGGGATGCAGCGTCTCCACTACCGTCAACCAGACATTCTTCGCCTCAGCTTCGGATTCACTCAACAGGCGGCATGCTTCCGCATGTAGAAAGTGCAAGCAGCGCACTACCATATGCTCGAAGGTCTTCTTCTGCTTGCCACCAGTGATTTTTCGCTCCTGCTTAGCTTTCCTGAACGCGAGGGAGGGTTCGATTTAGACGAAGCAGCTCCAACGAACAGCTAAGCTAGATAAGCTGAGGTTCTGAAACTCGTCTGCCTTCTGCTTTTTCGCGATCTCTGTGCGGACTTTATTCAGCAAGGCAAAGTCCAAACCCTTCACCAAATGAGTGTGCTCCAGGTCACCTTCGGTATCGGCTGAAAATGATCTCAAAAATCGTAGAAATCTAGCATGCGCATTGCTACTCCGCACAAACCCCACCTCCCAGGTACTTTGACTGGTCAACCGGCACCTCTCCATGATTCTCGAATTCGGCCGCGACTTTCTCCTCGGCCCATGCAGAGCGTGACAGCGTGAACGGACCAGCTGACACGAACAGCATGCCCGTGTAAAAGCTGACACTGCCGAGCATCGTACTCGCCTTTTGCGTCACGCCTCTCTGCTGCTCGATCCCTGTACTTGTTCTTTTCGGCATCCTGCGTTGACACCATGCATCAAGAGTACCATTTTATCGTGTAGGCAATCTTCCACCTGCAACATAATCTGCAACCTCTATCTCGGGTCTCCTTCTCAGCTTTGTCCAATGCTTTCTGCTTGTACCGGTTCGCTTTCCTGAGTTTTGTCAGAAGAGCAGAGACATGCTCCGATTACATTCATCGAACCTGGTCGCATAGCTGCCAGCAAGTCGCGCTATTCGGGCAATAGCCTTGTCATCCTTGCCTTTTCCTTGACCCTTGCCGGCCTTTGCACTGCCACCTGCCGCGGCAGCATCCAGTATATCAGTTTATCCATAGTTTATGCTCCACTGTTGTCATCAAGTGCCTTTTTTGCGCTTTGTCAGCTCCGTCACCAGCTCCCTGCCAGCAATCAACTGGAATTACAGCACAAAAATTCCCGGCACCCAGCATTCGGCCTGTCATTGGTGGTGAGCAAGCGTTGAAAATCGGAGTTGTTCATTGCTCGGGAAAGACGACAATGAGTCTATCTTTTATAAGCTCTAGCACTTACGGAATGGCTCACTGCAACGAGGTCAGCGCTAGCCCAATCCCCACCCTTACACCATTGCAAAGACGAGGCCGTCTCTTGCCTGTTACACTTAGATGCATCCCAACCTGTCGGGCTTGAAGATCAGTAGGGCTCACTAAGTTCATTGGGTCGACACTTGACATGCCAATGCATTTCGTCAGTGCGTGTGTTCTTGCGGACTGGACGAAACGCTGCAGATCGCTGCAGGCTCCTGTCTCTGGGTTGATGCCTCAGCAAACAAGTAGCAATTGGCCCGGTATTCTCCCATTTCTAGGTGGAGGACACACGCCACGGACAGCATCCTGAACCATTTTTCGGCGGAGCTCTGTCTGATGACCCACGGCCGCCGGACATGTGCCTGGTGCAAAATGCACAGGTCTTCTTGTCAAGATCTGGCGTCAAGAGGTAAGGGATAAAAAGAGAGTAACAGGACATCTTTAGCCCCAACTGGCACAGCGGTCGGCGCAAGCCGAGGGTCAGAGACGGTCAGAGCTTGGTCTTTGCTGAAACCCCACGCTGGATTGAGGCACTGTTGGCCTCAATCACCAGGAAAGCTTGCAAGCCTTCCATCATCTCTAAGCTTATCCAAGTGTCGGATGGCTATAGCAAGTGGGCAATTGCCATCCTCTGTAATAATATACTGGTCATCCGTGCAATCGAGTTAACAGAATTTTCGGTTTCGACAGCAGGTACATTATTTCTTGAGGACAACCACCTTGGAGCTAACCCCTTTCAGTCTTCTTGTGCCAGTGTTGCAGCCAAGCCCCCCTCCTCCTGCGAAGCACAAAGTTTCGGCATCAATCACGCCACACGACTGAACACGCGTCTGCGAAGGATGCGAAGGACATCGAGAAAGCAGATTTTACAAACACCAACCGAACCACTAGGAGAAGAGTCCTCCCGCCAAGCGTGCTATCTCAGAAAAGACTTCGACCTCACCTTTCCTCTTTGCAGCTCACAGACCTTCTTCTCCTCAGACTCCGCTGGCTGCGCTGCTGCAGGCCCATCACTTGCTTCGGCGCTGTCTGCCTTCCCAGAACAAACAGATGAACAGGAAGTCAGCTTTAAAGAAGGCTCGACAAAATGGCAGCACGGTTTGAAGCCGATATCCGGATATTTTCGGCGATCGGCCGAATCAATTTGTTGGACAGTCCCGCACACTTGCCCAGGAAGCACTTGGCGTCTTGGCCGCCGATTGTGCAGCAGGTGCGACGAGAGGCGAAGCTCATTCAGCTGCTGCACCGGTGCTGGTACGAGTCAGAAGCAAACGACGCGGCATCGCTAATGCTCAGAATCTCGCGACTCAAGCAGCGACTCAAGCAGTGGAAGTAGCTGAGATAGCTGCGAACATGTTCGACTGTGTCTGATGAGCCACCTGAGCATCGTCTCTTTTCCTGGATGGGGAGTCAGACCTGAGCGAACTGCCAAGGCAAAGTGTTGCAAATGACCGGGGGAGCACATGTCGTGCATGGGCACATTTGTCAGAAATCAAGGTCCGACACAGAAATCACAGCAGCTGCCAAGCAAGGCCACAGGCAGTTGCTGCAGGCGTGCCACGTTCCGCTGTGGTGTTTCTTGCAGTCAAGATGCCGTGCCTTCTTGTACTCGCTGAGCCTCAACTGCAAAGCTGAAAACGATTGACACAGCTTTTTAAGTTGTCTAGGAAACTCCTGCGTGCGCAAACATTCAAGTTTCGTGCGCATCTGCAGATCAGCTTCTGGCCCCGATGCAACTGTGCAAAAGTCAGGGGGCTTTTTCCGCTGCGGCGTGGGCTCGCCTGCAACGAAACGATGCGCTCTATCACACGTCAGGTGGTAGAATTACACAACCCGCAGCGGGCTGCATGAGCAAGCATGATCATGAAATGAACCTACCGATAGAAACTGCATCGGAGACCATCAAGTGAATTAACAACAAGTGCACAGAACACGATGTCAATACATTGCAAAATGTGATGCTGTGGCAGCTTCTATCAAGGAAAGGTCTAAGTACCCTTGCTATCCCAACCACCAAAAGCCAAGTCAGAAGCATGCTGAAACTCCCGCTGATGACGGCAGTCATAGAGAGAGGAACCATGAGGAGTACACGTTGCAACCAATGATGCATTCCGGGTTGTCGCAAGCCAAATAACAAAAGGTGGCCTTAATCATTTCAAGGTCTCGAGAAAAAACATAGCTTGTGTTGCCAAAAGTGCTCGAGGTGCCAAGCAAAACTCGCAAACCGGCATCAAAACGACGCAGCCTCAATCTTGCCCTGGTCTCAAGTCCGCGCAGCACGGGCACACTCCGCCTTCGGTCACCGGTTGTGCTGGAGACCCGGCCCCACCCCGGCAACAGAGCCTCGGATTGATCCGAGCTTTGCACGGGCATGAGTCGGATTGCTGAGGAACGACAGCCATGCACCCTGGATTGCCCCCAATCGCCCGCCCACGCAAGCCGCGCGGTCCTAAGCCCCAAAACCCCGCACAAAAAGCTCACGAAAACAAGCCATGCCAGACCGTGCCGAACCAACCCAAAACTAGCCGAGCTATGTTTAGCAGAACACCATGATGTAACATGAACCAACCCTAAACCCTCACCCACAGACCTCCTCAGCAGAATTTTGGAAAAGGTTGGTGTAAACCTCCAACCCTCTGTAGGCAAGCAGCTGCACGGGGGAAACCAACGACTGGGGTGTGTGTTCATGCATTGGCAAGAGAACCCAAAACCGACTAGTCTCCCAGCTTTTGTTTTTGATGTTTTCGTGTTTGTCATGTTGTATGCTTTGGTTTTATTGTTGGTTTTCAATTTGGTTTTTTGGATTGTTTAGCACGAGAGCTTGTTTTTGGCCTTCTCTGTCGCTTAATTCTCTTATCCAGTGCTAGGAGGAGGATGTTTCCAAACTAAACACGTAGTTTAAAACAGTGGCTTGCTTTAAAACAGTGGCTTTAAAACAGAGCCAAGAGTGGGCCTACCTGGTTTCCCTTTCTGTATACGCATATACATACATACATACATACATACATGCATACATACAGACAAACAGACAGACAGACAGACAGACAGACAGACATATGTATGTACGTATGTATGTATGTATGTATGTATGATTGTATGTATGTAGGTATGTATGTGTGTATGTATGTATGTGTGTGTGTAAATGTATGTGTGTATGTATGCATGCATGGATGTATGTATCTGTGTGTATTTGTATCTATGAATGTATGTATATATATATATTGATATTGACCTTCATGTTGATATTTACAGTTCTATTTATCTATCTATCTATTGATTTATCCACTAATGTATTTATCTATTTGTTTATTTATTTACATGTGTGTGTAAATACCTCTATATCTGAACATCTATATCTCTATATCTCTGTATCTCTAGTCTCTAGTCTCTAGACCTCTCTCTGCATTTCACTACTACCTATATGTATCTATCTGTATTTCTGTATATCTATTCTTTCTAAACCTATAGTATATCTGTATACATATGCATCATATATGTGTGTATGCGCGTATGCATATGTGTGTGTGTCTGTGTGAGTAAGCCTGTATGTATGTATGTATGTATGTATGTAAGTATGTAGGTGCATGCGTATGTATGTATACACTGGATAAATATGTAATTACAGGTGTGTATGCATATATACATTTAAACACATGTTATACACGAAAAAAGGGCGGCCTGTCACTTCGGCAATTTGCTCCTAGGTTTAGCTGTCTGACATCCTACTTAATTTCAATTTTATAGCTCACACAGCTCTCAGAAGCGCTGGTCACATCCCATTGCAAAGGTCACAGCAAACAACGAAACCGAACACAACGAAAACACACACAGCACACGTGCGTACACCTACCTACCTACCTACCTACCTACCTACCTACCTACATACTTACTTGCTTACATACATACGTATTGGAGTAGGTGTGCTCTCATTAAGACTATAGCGATATGTGCGGCAGAACATATGGCACGATGCATGGTCGGGTGGGTGGTGTTTAGACTGTCGTTTCAATACAAGATGATTTGGTCAATGATATTAGGCATAAAACTTGTGGCCGGGAGATGGGTTGCATTTAGATTGTCTTTAATACAAAATGAAGTCGTCAATATTATGAGAGACTATCCTGGATGAATTCGTGGTAGAATACTGGGTCTGTGATTCGTTCGGATGCATCGTCCAAGCTTGATTCGGGTGTGGCTGACATGATGCGTGTTTTGATTTGAGGAGGTGCGCTGTCTGGACTGTATAAACTTGCTGGTTCTGGAGCTAGGAGAACATTGGCCTGACTGCCAGGTCGATGGCCTGCTTTTTGACAAGATGGACACATTACGTTGAATTGTGTTACGCTACGTCACGCTAGGTTACGTGGCATAACATGCTTACATTACATTACATTACATTCCATTACATTCCATTACATTACATTACAGTACATGACATGACATTACATGACATGACATTACACGACATTACATGACATTACACTACACTACACTACACCACACTGCACTACACTTACATTGCATTCCGCGACCGTGCGTTACGTTGCATTACATGGCATTACATGACCTGATATTACAGGACCTGATATTACAGTACGTACATACATACATACATACATACATACATACATACCCACATACATACATACATACATACATACATACCCACATACATACATGCATACATGCGTACATACATACGTGCATACATACATACATGTTTGGCACTCGCGCTCGATACATACATACATACATACATACATACATACATAAATACAGCGCCGGCTGCCAGGTGCAGAAAAAGAGAAGGAGAAACAGCAAAAGACAGAGAGACAGAGGGAACGCTACATTTGCACTGCGTTTGCCTGCGCTCAGCAGTCTAGAGCCTTCCTCGGTTCTCACCTTGCGTCGCACTTTGCCTGTGGCATGTTTGTGCCCGTTCCAAACATACAGTTTCGCCGCCTCACTCAGGCCTCTTTCCTCCACTGCAGACGCAGAGTTTCGCAGTGGCTAGGACTCTGCTAGGGTGAGCTGTCGAAATGCCGGAGGGCAGGAAGCTGCCAACAAGCAGAGCCTTGGCCAGAAATCAGAACTCGGCCAACGTGAGACTACGTGACTGGCATCAGAGAACTAAGCGCCATACAAGAACTGTTACCAGGACTGGAACTGGGTTCTCTAGAACCTGAGTTTTCGTCACAGTTTTTCGCTAGCAAGCTCATGTCGGCATGTGCCCAACGCTCTCTGGCCAAACCCGAGCAGCCGTGTCCAGGGCTTTGCTGAACATGCCTTGTCCACTTGCCGACTTGTCCTGATTTACATCAAGGCTATGTTTATCCTGCTCATCGCACCTGTTAACTACCGGAGATGGGTATCCTGCTTTGCCTCGATGTCGCTCCGCACCTTGAATGTAGCTTGGCCAAACGCTATGACCTGAAGGTGGGAAAACTCGGCATGTGTTGGGCTTCACGACGAGTGCCCCGCGCCTTTTCCGGGTTGGAATCGACAACGATGTTGTCGAACATGATACCCTTGTCCATCGTCCAGATGTCAATACCCACCGAATCTATGGTCGGCAGCATGTACGGATTCTCGTCCACGAAATACTCAGGATTGTCTATCTGCCTCGGCAGCATGCAAATGCCAGCATGGAGCTCCTGCTTACTTCCGCACACAGTTTGACTTCTGGCCTGGGCTTCCATTCGCCAATGTAAGCTGGATTGTCAATTTTTGGTGCATACCATTTGCCTTTGTAGTTGGGATTGTTGATTCTCGGTGCCTGCCGGGCTTGCACAAGAATGGAAAGGTCTGGAACTGCTGACGGTGGTTCTACCCGTGGGATCAGTGATGCCTCCCACTTTCCGCAGCCGACAGAGCACTTGGGATTGTCGATGATCGGAGCTTCCCATTCACCGTCCTCCTCATCGTCCCAATCTGCAGGCCTGCCCAGAGCCAAAGCCAAAGCTTAGAAGCTACTTGTTCGGAACAATCTTTGGCATGCCATTGAAGACAGGTCCCTCGTGTGTGACTAAGTCTCGCGGCACCTCTGCGACTTGGGATCTGGTATCTTAGCCAGCTCGTCTTCCAACCACCCTGAAGGCATGGAAGCTGATGGATCTGGGATCTGAAACGGCGCATCTTCGTCCCAGTCGTCCTTGACACGCGCCCCAAAAAGCAGCCCAAGATGCTGAATGCTCACAAAGCACATCTGTCACTCTGCAATGTCAACTATTGTCAGATTGCTTGCAGGAATCTGGTTTCGATGCATCTGGATCATCTATCTTTGCTTCATCGACCCAGTTCGACGGCTTCTGGTCTGACGGGTCATCTATTTCCTGGCACATTCACTTCTGTCGCACGCTCGAGACAAAAAAACATTCATGCTGTCGTGCAATCGAGTCTCCTTCGGTGGGTTAACTGGCGGCTGCATGTCCTTGAGGAGAGAGCCGCTAGCCTTCTTCTCACCGTCGACATGGACTTCGAAACTGTTGTCAGAGCGGATGAACAAGCCTAGCACGACCAACTCCCTCCAAAGCATGCAGACACAGTGTCACTGTCACAGAATAAACAGCCTTGCTCTCGATTCTGTGTCGGCAAGCAGCCGTACAAATGTGTGCGGCGGTCCATCGGCACACTCGGAGGCGTCTGCAAATGCTTTTCTTCCCACTTGCCCGTGACGGGGTTCCTTACTATGCAAGTGCAGCCTGCACAAGACGAGTAACAAGATGCCTGCACGGCACACAATGACTGTCAACCTAACAACTGCATTGATCAACTCAGCTGGCGGCTTGTGCTGGAAAATGAAATGCACTTTGTTCGTACCGCCACATTTGTCCGGCCCAAACATGACGACGTAACCTGGATGGCTGTCGAGGGTCAGGGGTCAGTCTTTCGGCGTCCGGCCGGAATCATGCACCTGAATTATGCCACATTGTGCCACCGACTTCCGTCAAAACATCGTTCGGTCGTTCTATTTCAACTTATGTCGTATTGGATGCATCCAGCGCATGACAGACTAGTATCACGAGGAGGTAACTATGGAAAGCCATGTCCACTGTAATCCTATGTTACAATGTTTCGACTCACATCGCAAGGGCCAGTCACCTTTTCATGTTGGAGTTGGGAGCCTTCAAGACATGTCATGAAGGAAGGCTCCTGAAAAAAGGGTAGACAAGGATAGTGATGGAGACAAACACGGAGGGAGAAAGGCAGGGGCAAAACCGGTCCGCACATGCCGGCAAAAGCCGACCGCACATGCCAGCAGCAAAACCAGGAATTCCGAATCGTGCACAAAAAGAAAGCGAAGGCAAGGGAACAGACTCGACGATACGAGGTAGCAAAGCGACAAGGCATATCCATGACAACAATCTGCAGATCCGGGCACAAAATTTCGCGGCTTGCCCCAACCTCTTGCTGCTTAGTTTGACGTCTGATAGCCGGAGCAACTTATTCTAACATCCGCGGCTGGTCCCGGTGTATGCCAGGTCTGAATCCCGGGCCGGTAGTTCCTGAATCGCCCAGCGTGATACAAACATTCTGCATCACGGCGTTGTTGGTCCTGGCTCCGCAACTGCTCGGACCGCGCGGGTCATCCAATCAAAGGGCCAATTTTTTTGCCTCCCGCCTGGCAAAAAGGGCCAATTGGTTCCTTAATCGCGTTGCGTATGCTCTGTGCACCAGCACAGATGTTTCCCCGAGAGAGGCTGCAGAGCTTCGATTCTCATGCTCGGGTTTCAGAACCTCCGCTTGTCTTCGGAGAACACGAGAGCACGGGTGACGCCGTGTCTCAGGTCTTGTGTTGTCCAACCGAAGCTGGCATCAATAGGAGGTAGGAAGAGACACAGAGAGCCGACTTCCGCTGTGCCCTTCGAGTCGTGATCAGCAGACAAGGAGATCACAGCCGGAACTTAGAATAGAGGACGGGCTATAGAACCCCATGCTCGTGACTGAAACGTATCTTCTCACCATCATGAGTTGATCCTTTTGGCCAAATAGCGCGTGTCGGAATCGAAAGCATCGGAGGGCCGGCCTCAAGCACAGCACTAGGCGGAAAGAAAACCTCCCCCGATGAGTCTGGACTTTCTCGAATTGCACTGCCAGCAGTCTCTAACTGAAGAACATCCGGCTGCAACAAGCCTCAAATCCGATAGCCAGAACAGGCTCCGACCTTCACTGTCGAACAATTTGATGTACGAACCACCGCACCTGGCCGAAGCGCTCACATGCGGATCTCACATGAACGCAGAAAATACTCCCGAAGCAAAGCCGCACGCAAAATGAAAAAAGGGGCCATTGCAGTCGGTTCACGACAAGCCATCCTCAAATCTGGCTTCGAACCTCGGAGCTTTGCCGGTTAGTGCAGCTGAAGCATATGGCCAAGCTTGAGACCGTACAGCTAAAGCAAGATTACTCTTTCACAGTTCTGCTCACATCTGGGGATGTCAGGAGCTAGGGAAGGTCGCAGACCGAGGAGCTGCACAGCGAAGGCGCCCTTCTGTTGGACAGCGATTGGCTCAAACTTCGCGGCCTTTGCCAGCACCAGGCGGAGCCAAATGCCGCGTGCAACACTCGAGTCACTTCTCCGAGGGGCTGTGCCGTAGTGGCGAGCGGCCTCTGACACCTTCAAGGCCACATCGCCAAGCAGCGCCTCAAATCAAGCTGCACTCACCAAACAGATGGTGAGTTGGATGGCAGAGAGACATCCTGCCGCGAACAACCCCCAACAGCTCGAAGTGCCACCTCAGGGGTTCGCGTGGTGACCTCGAATTTTCCATTGTACTTCTCCTGAGCCGTACATCGCACATTGCTGCAGCCTGAACCGATGAATCCAACATGAGAAAGGACAATGGTCTTGGCAAGCTTCCGCAGTGGAATGCTTCCACCTTGACCATACCTCGGCAGGCGGCAGGAGCAAGAAGCTCACAACCTGCTTCCAGGAGCTTCGGCCAAGAAGCATCGGCATCAAAGGTCTCCACGAAATGAAGGCCGGTAACATCTGGAGCAACATAAGGAATTGCAGGACCATCCTGGCACAAATGCGAGGATCGAAGTGCCCACAAACCCAAGGAGTCTCTAGTTTGTCGATGTAGCGGCGAGGTCCATTTACACCCCTCTCCTGCTTCACGCATTACTTGAATCTGCTAAGCATCTCCATCTGTCAACTCCCCATCTACATTCCCTTATTGATCCTTTACGTTTTCCGTTCCGGTCCGCTTTTCCATGGCTCGCCGTGGCCTCAGCGCTTGCGCTCGTAAAGGCAGCAAGCACGGCTCCGCGCAGCGCTAGCATGGCCTCGAAAGTCAGAAACGAAGACCATTCTGTGGGGAAGAAAAAAATATGTGCGGGAAAGCGGGACATGTCATGACGTTGCAAGGACTTCATTGCAGCCGCGTCACGGCACGACTCCCAGGGCCTCTCCACTGCACAGGAGGGCGCTGCTTGAGCCTCTAAGACTCTGAGGAAAGTTGTACAGTTGGAAGCCTCCAGCTGTTACACAAGTCACTTGCCAACCACTCGCACGTGTCATTCTTGGTAAGAACAAGATGAACAAGATACTCTCTGCAGGGGCATAAACGCAAACCTGTGTCACTTGCACCCTCCATGGCATCATCAACACCCCAACATTCGAACCTGCATGCAACGCAGCAGTTTCGAGTGGCGGACGAACGGCTGAAGCACGGGCCTGGAAAGGTCACTCCGTGAGACCCACCGCAGGATGGCAAGGCGGCAAGGGCCTGTTCCAGACTGTCTCGCAGCAGATGAGCTGGAGTCAATGGAGTCCTGACATGGCAGGCACAAGCTGGTCTGCGTGGACTGCCAGGCCGGTCAGGGACCGCAGTCGACAGAAGCACCACATAACATGCAAGACGTTTTCAGCCCGCAGCGTCGGGTGGAGCTATCTGCGGGTACGTGCGGGAACTTCTCTCAGAACACTCAAGCTTCTGCAGGCTCAGATCAAATGGTGATGCCCTGCACCTGCTTCTGCTGCGACAGTTTCAGCATCCTGACGGAAAGTGCTCATGGTGCTACGTGCATTGCAAGCTGTTTCGGTACATTGTAGCTGCAGCGCGGGCTTGGGTCCACTTCGGGCGCGAGACTCTAGAAGTGCGGGGCATCCCTATGTATCCAAGGCATCTCAATCCAGAAAAGGCGAGCCAGAGGCGGCTCAAGTCCCCCTTGCTACCCGCGCAGAATGCGAAGGCCGACCACAAGAGCCACACTGGCTTGGCGGCGAGGCTACTGGGCTTTCGGCCGTCCTGCAAGAGCTTACGTGGACAAAGAGCGTCACGTGCCCCGGAAAGACTCCCAAGTCGGTCTTTGCAAAGAGGTCCCGGGCCAGAAAGGTAGAGCGTTCAGGAAACCAGGAGATCCTTAAATGTGTTCAGGCCACTCAAGCAATTAACATGCTGGTTCTGCGAACCGTCGACCCTGTCTGAACAGCCCGGGTACATGGAAGAATCGACGGTGATGTTGCTACCATCCCCGCCCGTGCCGGCATTTTGAAGAACCACTGCTGCTTCCTGGCCTCAGCAAGTCGCCCTGGATGTGAAAGCTAGGTGTGAAGAGCTCGGCAGAGCTGTCTCTTCAGCCTCGAACCTGAAAGCTCGCGCACCCAAACCCGCAAGTCTCCATCACAACCGGCCACGCAGAAGCCCTGCTTGCCCAGAACATCCTCCACACGTGCCACCACTTCTAAAAGCCGGTCGGTGCCATGCACTATGCAGCCCCCGGTCCTGGTTCACAGAAATGACTTCCCGGTTCTGGAGAATCTCTTTGGATTCTGCCGATATCATTCGAAGGTCATTGGACATGAAGAGCGGCGCAGCAAAAATGGCCCACAAAGCGAACTGGGTCTGCTCTTCTGACTGCGACAAACCAAAGTTGCCCACAATCAGCATGTCAGGATCCTATGCATTGGTCAGGTCGTCAGCAGGAGTAACACGAAGACACTGCATGTCAGTCAACGCATTGGCCTGAAGCAGTGCCTGAGGCCGGCTCATTCCAGTGTCCGGGTCCAGCTGCTCGAACCATTTCATCACTGCTGTTCCGCCTCTTCCAGAAGTTAACAATGCCAGTCACCTCAGCTCAGCTAACTTGATTGTGCAACAATCCAAACTGGACTCTGGACACGAAGACTACGACAAGTTACAGACTGCCAGCTGTCATCAACCTTAGTTCGCACCCAAAGGTTGCAAGAACTGTCTGTCTCGCAGAACTTGCTCAGAAACATGTTCGCATAAAGGGATCGCGGTCGCAATCGGCAGTCCGGCAAGGAACATCCCCGTAGTTGCGCCAGAGGTTGCCTGACTCTAATTCATGAGATTTCCGCGAGGCCTCCTGGCCTGCAGGAATATGCTCCGAAATGTGAAAACAGTTGCGGATGGCAGAAACACGGCGCAGCAATAGTACGGTGAATTGATTGCCAGTTGCAGTTTTCCACTAAAGAGGCCATGCAAGCATCACTTCCTTCGCAATGATGGGGCAGGTACGCAGGCCAGCTGCAGCTGTAGACCTCAATGAGACAAATTCAGCAACCAGGCTATGCGAAACCTTTCCCAAGTCCTTCCCAGAAGGTCGATGAATGATGACAGCAGACACGAGCTTCTGAGAAGTGTGCTATCGGCCGTCCGGTTCTGTTCAAAGCTGCCCCAAAGGCAGGATAATCAGCTTGCATGTCCTTCAGAACCCTAGCAGACCACAGGGGCAAGAAGGCCTCTCTTCTACGAGAGGCGCCATGTGTCCTTGAGTTCTTCGTAGCAACCATCCACTTTGATGTAGTCCACCCCCCAGGATGCAAACAGGCGGGCCTTGGAAATTCGAGTTTGACTCTCTTTTTTTCTGCTACTCAGTTTTCTTGAGGTCCCTGCATCCTCGTCAAAGTGGCCCTGGAGGCCCACTTTTCCAGCGCAGGTCTTGGAGCCGATGTCGCTGTAGGTCCCGAAAAGGAGGCCGCGATCATGGATGTATTTTCCTAAAGCGGCCATGCCCGAAGGAAATCGCGTGGGGTCCGCCACTTGCTGACCCTTCTCGTCGCGCTCGGGGAGTGCCCAGCAGTCATCGATGCTCACCTGCTTGTAGCCAGCTTCGAGCCATCCATCCTGCCAGGTCGACAAATTTCCACGACGGATCACGACCGGTGGCTGGAAGTTCCTGAATCTGGGAGGTGACGACCGACAGAACCCTTACTCGTCATCCTGATTATTGCCCATGCAAGGTTGCAACCTCGGTTCCGCATATCTCCTGGCACCTCCTTGCGGAGATCAATAATTACAATTCAGCTTTCCCTGAAAATCGAACGATGCAGTTGCACGTTCCACACTCTCACATCAGCACGTGGACCGGGAGGACTGCTATCAACACACTCTACCGACATGCACAGGTCCAAGAATCAGATCCCTGCACAGACTCAACCCGAAAGTGAGAATACGGTCCAACCGAGCTAGCATCACAAGACAAGAGTCTGGCCAGCGATGCGAAAAGCTACGGTGACACATGCCGCATAGCGTTTTTAAACACAGCTTTTTGCAGCGTGCTTCGGGCCGCCCATGTGCGTCGACTGCACGCAGTCCTTTGCAAGCCGATCGGCCATGTCCTTGATAAGCTGCTCATTGATGCAGTGGGACGGGCCCGAGGTACTGCAGTCGGTGATGCATCGGTAGCGTTCCCATGTCATCCAACCCATGGGCGGTGTGCGTGCAAGCCCATTGTCAAGGCATTCTGTCAAAGTTGTGGATATCGCCAGGCACAAGGTAGACAAACGGCCCATTGCTAGCGCGGTGTACATAGGCGGCGGAGAACACCGTTTAACGCTTGAGGGAAAAAGGCAGCAGCCATCTCTCACTTCTCCGATGCGAGTCCTGGTTGCGGCAAACATGCCACTCGTCTCCATCTTCCGTCCTGGAGACTCTGGGCGACTCTGAGTGGGTCGGCGGTCATCAGCTGGGCCCTCTTTATGAACGCAGACAAGCAAGCACGTGGCACTTATGATATGAATGACTCCCACTTTCGCAGAATCCTGTAGTAAGATTTAGCCACTGTCCGTACATGTCTACTTGCAAAGCAAACGAGCGTGTTGGCATGGTGCGCTTGTTTGAGCTGGATCAAAAACTGCAGACAGGGCCGCCTGTGGTGACCATCGAACGTGCAAGGATGCCAGAGCACGATAAGCGTGCCAGAAGGGTTCATTTTATTGCCGAAGCCCCGTTGCGACCAGAGGCGATCACAGTCTCGCAGATCGCGTGTCTCCGACATTAAATCGTGCAGTTCAAAACTGTTCTACACAGGCCGGCCTTCTAAGTGCCAGGAGTTTGAGATTCGCGAGACTCTGAGATGTGCCCGTGTAAACGCTACAGATGTGCCTTTGAAAGGTCTAGATGCACGAAGCGACTTTTCGCATTCACACGCTTTGGGCAGAGATAAAGAGGCGTGCATGTAGATATATATATATATACACATACACACATACCTACACAAATACATAATCATACATACCTACTTTACTTTTACTTTCCCCGTTGCAGAAGAGGTCTTGCTGCGAACGAAAATGGAAGGCAAGCGCTAAAGCACCCGGCCGATGGCTGTATCGATTCGTACACCTTCCTCAGACAAGCAACTAAGATCAAATCTGAGTGACTCCCGGCACGCATGCCCAAAAGCAGAGTCATTGACACTGTTGATAGAACAATAAGAAAATCTCCTGGCACAGCTGATCTATGTCAGCAGCCAGCTTCGAGCGAACACCATCATCAGCAAGCCTATAACTCCCATCGCGCACATCATAAAACAGATTGTAGTAGTGCCCACTCTCAGGAGTCCCTCCTCTGTGCAAAATGAGGGAGGTCAGTTGATGCATGATGCGGCGGGTTTCAGTGCCCTGCACAAACACAGGAATCTCAATATAGGGCTCAGGGAGCAAACGATAATGTCTCTTGACAGCCCTACCAAGCGTCCCATCATAATCAAATCTGCCCACCTGAACTACAAGGGCCTTTGGCCCAAACATCACAGCATGTACAGAGTCTTGATGATGCCAGTTCTCAACCATGTTTTGTACCGTCACCTCCCGTAGTGGCCTATTCCCGCCCGCCGGCAGAGGAGGCTGCAGCAGCCACGGTGCAGCTTGGCCCCCATCTGTACGAAGCCATTCATGATCACGAGGCTGCCTGGCTTCCCACACAACCGCTAGCTTTTCCACTGTGTAGGTGAGTCTCCCTAACATGTGTTGAAGAAACTCGGCCGCATCATGTTGACGGGCTGGAGCTCGCCAATTCCCCTTTTGAGCCCTCCAGAAGAGGTTGGCCCATACATGTGTAGCTCCATCGCTTCTGAGCATGCCCTGCAGGAAGCCAAGCATCGCACCCTCAAACAGACTTTCCAGTCCCCCCAACCAGCAAGCCCCATGAAGTAGACCTCTGATCACTGCATTGGTGTAGCAGTAATTTCCCTTGTTGCCAAGCATGAGGCCTAGGACTTGATCAAGGCAGCCAGTTTCTGGGCCAGGGGGCTGCGTTGGATTCGTTCCTGGCGCACAATGCGCCAGCCGCCACCCAAACGGCCGATTGTTTCAGCCGATAGAGGTGCCTCCATGCCTGATGAGACTGCTCTGTGCGAAGTCTTATCTCCATCAGCATCGTCAAATTGGGGGACTGGTACTGCTCGCTGAGGGGCCGGGTTGCATGATATCTCGCCACCACCATGGGCTCCTTGACCAACACCACCAGCTCCGCCAGGGCGGCCTTCACCTCCTGGACGTCGATGGGCTGGATTTGCTCGTCCCGGACATGGGTCCTGGTTTCCTGATTCCATCGTAGGCCTGTGACCACCTTCTCGTCCTCCGTCAACCATCCTAGGGATACCGCCGTCGACCTCGACGATGGAGTTTCCATCATCTTCTGCAATCTCTCGAGTACCGTCTTGATGAGATGCTGCATCAGAACGGCGCGCATCGGAGCATTCAGTCGCTCGGGGGTTTTGGTCTTGGTGTCGTGCCAGACCTGGGCTACCTGGTATGTGCTGGTGGCTAGGTTTTGTGGTACATCCGTTCGTAGAAACGCCACAAATCCGGAGTCGATCCTGCTTATGCAGTGCTGGGATTCGTGGCGAAGAGGGAGCATCACCACCATGTTGAGGAGGGTCTTGGCGTCGTAGGACTCGTCCTCGACGAGCTCCTGGTCCTCCTCCCACTTGTCGCCCCACTGGCCTTGGCTCGACCCGGCCCTGGACTCCTGCTTGGCTCCCTGCCGCTTCCATCCGCGGTGATGCTGCCATGTACCTCCAAAGCCCTTGCTTCGGTTCTGCTTTCCCCACTGAGGGTCCCTTTGCTGCTGTCCCTTGCCCGACTGTCCTTTGGTTGCCGGCCTGGGAAACTTTGGCGCCCTGTCCGGGGACTCCTCCTTGGCCTGGAGATGGTTGGGGCCTGGAGAAAGAGACATTGTCGCCGGTGCGGGAGTCGATGCGATGGGCGCCTCTGCCGTGAATGCCGCTGTCGTTGGCGTCAGAGCCCTCAGCATGTCCAGCTCCTTGGTGGCCTCCTGTAGGCATCGCTTGTCCCGAGCATCCACTTCGATGTCAGCTGTCATGTCCAAGTGCTTTGAGCTGGGTCCAATCGTGTATGGCAACATATCTATCGATGGCTCCGCACAATACCGGCTAGAAACGGTTGCATTCTTGCAGGTGACTTCAATGTTGCTGTGGAACCAGAGCATCCATGGTGTGGCCGCGGAGTCACACCACACCAAGGCCAGCATCAGGATCGCGGGGAGTTTCAGGACTTGCTTCGCACGCACCAGTGCACGATTCTCAACTCTTGGAGGTCGGGTGGGGCAAGGGCGAGAACGTTCCTACCACCCGGTGTGGGTGCTCAGCATGGAGAACCCCGGCTTGGCACCCAGATCGACTACATCATTGCCAGGGGCCAACTAGTGGATAATCAAGCTAAACAAGCTGTACCCATCCAGGCCCACTTTGTGCCAGACAGTGGATGCAGGCATCTACCTGTGCAATCATCCGTGCCGTTGCCTCATCGACCGATGCCGGTACCACCTACGCCTTCCAAACTGTCTCTTGCATTGGTCAGGAAACATCTTCGGGATACCAACTCGGCAGAGCTCTTCATGCAGGACGTGGCCCCACAGCTCGCCCAGGCATCCCCGCAAACCAACCTAGATGATGTCCTTTTGATAGGGAGGAAACAGACGGTGGGCCAGTCCAGACGGACAACCACTGCCCAGGCTCAACCGGAACGCCAAGCAGGTATCAGAGCCGAGGATAGTGTGAGACAGCTCATCCATTCCATGTGGCAGGTCAGAGCAGAACTTCGACGGCTACAACAAGCAGATCGACCTGGAGGGGAGGTTCCTCCCCTAAAGTCGTTGTGGATGGCATGGCATTATGCAGCTAGATTGTGGGCCATCAGTCGGGAGTTGCGGAAGCAATGCCACCATCGCAAGATGCAGAAGATTCAGGAGGTTGTGGCCTCAGCTAATGTCTTTCAGGCAGCGAAACAACTTGGCCCCAAACAGCCCAGAAGAAGATGGCAGCCCGGAGGGTGCGATACAAACGAGGGAAGCAGAACATCGCCAGATCCTTGACTACTTTGCAATACTACATCAAGGACCAGCCTACACACCGGTTGTTCTCAGCCGTCCAGTTTGCATTACGGAGACGGAGGTCGCTATGGCCATGACACGCATCCAGGCATCCAAAGCCATGCCCTCAGAGAGTGCACCTTCGCCGTTGTGGAAACTGGCCAGCGAAGAGGCTGTCCCGGTGTTGACCCGGCAGTTCAACTTCCACTTGACAGCAAGCACCACGTCGCTTCCCATACACTGGTGTAGCTCTGAGCTCGTCCTCTTGCCCAAACCTGGCAAGAACCTGTGTCATCCGGATCAGTTGCGACCCATCAACCTCTTGCCGATTCAGGCCAAATTGCTGGGCTCCATCCTTGCGAACCGCCTGCTGGAGTATGCCACCGAGTATTTGGCTGACACACACACACACATACCAATATGCATACTTGCCGGGGAGGTCGTTGAGTCAAGCACTCGAGAGAGTGACCAGCCATTGTGCCCAGGTACGAAGTCTCGTGGAAGCCCAACATCATGCCCCTCACACCAGAAGGCAAGGCAAAGTGTCCATGGCTGTCGCAGGAGGATGTCAAATGTCATTAGACGTCTCCAAAGCATACGACAGGGTGTGCTGGCGAGATTTGGAGCGAGCCTTGTACGAGGCGGGGGTGCCCCAGGGGCTTGTTGAAATGTCACGCACTGTGGCATGACGGGGTCCTTCTCCTTGGGCCGGGGGCTACGCCAAGGATGCGGATTGGCTCCACTCCTTTGGACAATCTATCTTGGTTGGATCCTCAAAGGGCTTCACAGAGACCTTGCTCTCGGCGACTCATTGGTGAACACGACTTATGCAGACGACCTTCACTATAGTTGGGTTGTAACTTCGGGCAGGGCTTTGGAGGCGGCCTATGCGGCGATGAAGGGCATCCTAGGTGGACTTTGCGATCGAGGGCTGAATCTAAGTATGGATAAAACGGTGGTCTTGATGTCCTTGGGTGGGCCACAAGCCAGGGCTTGCATCAATCGCTACACCGTACAGCATCCGGATACCAAGCTCCAGATCGGATATGGCAGATTTGAGCAACAAACCTTTGCTCATAGACTCCAGTTGGCCAAACATACCAACACCAGACTGGCACCCACGCTCAAGTGTCGTGGTCTACCATGCAAGCTACGGCTGAGGCTATGGCAGCGCACGGTCATCCCCACCATGATCCATGGTCTCGACTGCATTGGGCTACCAAGCAAGGAAGCAGAGCTGTTGTGGGTTCACTTCTTCAAACAGTCGCGTTCATTGCCAAGTCGCACAGCATGTTCACCCGAGAATCGAACCAGGCTTTTGCCCAGCGACTATGTCTACCCGACCCGATCAAGAGGCTCCTCGAATGCATCGCCCGGCGAGAGAAGATGGACCAATTTCACCCTAGCCCCTTGCTTGAAGGCTCCCCGCAGCTGCAGTGGCGCGAGCTGGTGAGAGGGCAAATTTTGGAAGCAAGGGCCATGAGTCACCCTCAGAAAGATAGGTGCCGAGTAAAATTGGTTCAAGATGTCCTACACGAACAGTTTCGATGCTCCGAGTGTGACCAGACCTTTGCCACACAGGCGGCTCTACGCAGACATGTCTTCAACCACCACATGACTGAGGAGCAACAAACAGAAAGGCGGCAAGACACCAACAGACAGCTGAGGGATGAGATCATGGAGCATGCACGTGACGGCGTGCCAGAGTGCCGCCACTGTGGACACAAGTTCACAACATGGCACGCATTTTACTATCACATTAATACCCAAAGTTGCTCGGTGTTGCGTGCGTTGAAGACCAGCCCCCTCAGATTGGAGATCATGCCTACCCTGAACGATGCCGTGATTGAGAATCCTAGCATTGTCACGTTTGCTGGACAAGGCTCCTGGAAGGACCTCGCACTCCACGTTGCTTGAGGAGTGTCTCATTCTTGTTGTCTGCTGGTAATGTGGCCTTGTGAGGATTCCAGGAGACCTGGTAGACCCCCAACACAACACATCCAAGGGTACTTCCATGAGCAATCTGATGTGGAGTAACCTCCCCGGTAAGACCGCCACCGACCGTATGTGTTCTTGGGGTATGAGACCCTGTCGAATGAGACACGTGATGCCAGTGCGTGCTGCACCTGCACTATGTATGATGTGCCACCGTAGCTTGCCTTCTGATACTGGCTGAGTGGTGTATTCCATGTCCAGCTGGATGGGCATCATATCGATGATGTGACCCTGTGCATTTTCACGTTCAAGCCACTGCAAGATCTCGTGATATCGGGCGCTCGTAAGCCCGTAAGCCCTCCGGAGTTCCATGTGATGATGTTGAGCCGTTTGCTGCGTCTGCACAAGGGCTCATTGTGCTCACGAGGTGTGGGTCGGGTTGCTGGGTTTCTTTGTGTGAGCTCTTTGAGGGTCATCAATCTGCCTCTGTACCAAGTGTGCTGGTTCTCGCTGTTGTTGGCTCGATGGATTGCTCGTTTCAGTGCTCGCTTGCGAATGCTTGTCTGAGGGGTCGCCTGGTTCACGGCCCTGTTGCTGCTCACACCGAGCTTCGCCTCCTTGTGTACTGTAGGGGCCATGTGTTTGGCTTCAGGGCTTCCACGGTGTGTGGGAAGCCCAACCCTCGCATCTGTCACTGCCATTGCTGCTGTTGCTGTTGCTGCTTCTGTGACTGCTGTCGCTCAGGCTGGCTGAATGATGATCATAAAGAGGACGATACCAAGCCAGTTGATGCATGTCGGTTGGCAGTGACTCCGGGACTTGGGACCCGGACGGCTTCCATGGGTGTGCTTGTCAAGCTGAGGGGACTTGTCGTGGCGTCCTGCATGCCCCAAATTGAATTGCCAGGCCATGAGTGTGCCTGGCACGCTGTGGTCGTCTTCGTAGAAGAGCTGAAGGATCTCAACCTGGGCAGCCGGGGGTGGTGCCAAAGTGCAAGGCTAGCAGGAAGAAGAAGAACCGCAAATAAGGCCACCCGCCACATCAGCAGAGAGGTCATCGGTCTGTACCTGGCTGGCAGTGGGATAGGCAATGAAGTCCGTACACTTGACCAAGTTTGCAGAGAGCTGTGAGGACCCGGGCTTTGATTTTCCCCATCAAGCTCATGCGGACCGATCAGCTGCAAGGTTTGGCTGACTGCTGTTGAGGCAGCTTGCACATCAGGCCAATCTGGCTCAGAGATCTCCTTCAAACCTAGGGGTCTACCGTATCTATGCCGCATCAGGGTTGCGACGCCTGGGCTTGACAAACTGACGCTTGCGTGCATGGACAGGGCAAGACAGCATGTTGCAAACACTGCCTGATGGAGCAAATGGGGAGCCCACTTGCGGTTGGCTCTCGGTGGCTCCATCGAAGAGTTGGTGGTCCTAGGCCTGGTCGATCCGGAAGTCATGCTTGTGGTTGACCCAGGGGTGGTAGGGTGTCTGCTCGATCTCCTCGGGGTCTTCCGGTCGTAGCCAAAGAAGCAGGCGTTGGTGGAGGAGGTGACGCCGTGGTAGGCCCGGGGCTCATAGCCTCCACAGCCGCAACGAGCTGGTCCATCCCCAAGCCCATTAAATAATCTTCAACCTCTTGCTCCGTCATGTATGACCTGGCCTCGGAGTGCCACGCTTGATGAAGCTCAGCTCGCCTGTCCTCGCTGTTGCCAGGCATCGAGGGGGTCGTGTGGGCCGCCGCCATGGTCCCAGTCTCAGCGACCCTGTCGTTGACGTCTGCCTCGTCGTTGGGTCATGGTGCAACAAATTAGGATGTAAACGATCTGAGGGTTTCATGATGTGGATAGCGAGGTTCTGGATCTGCTCATACCCCCACGGCACATGTGTGACGATCTGTCTTAGGGCATTATTGCCCTCCATGCGAAGGGCGTCGGCCACAACGCCAGACACACGCCATGACACCGATCGCAGGTCCTTTACTGGACGAGGTGGCGGAGGTCCTGCTGGGGCAGTAGCCGTGCCAGTCCTGGCACCAGCCCCTCTGCCAGGGACCACATCTGGCTCATCGCCCGAGTCGTATGCATCCAGGTATTCACCTGATGAGCTGCCATCTAGCCTCTCCACCATATCGGAGCCCCTGCTTTCTAAGCCTTCGTCCGCAGCTTGAGCCTGTGCAGTCATGTACAGTGTGGGCAGCACACGGCAGCACGGAGATCGCTGATAGCAGAAGTGGCCACTGCCCAACAGGACTGCGGCACGGCTTGTGCACCAGGATCAGGGCGAGCATGAGCAGCCCGTCCGCGAGAAGGAAAGGCAGTAGCAGGGCCAGGAGGCCCCACCCACAGATAACCTTAGGGCCTGACGAGCCCTTGCAGAGTTTCCACGCTCCGTGCAGGGACCTGTAGAGGCCAACAGTGAACTTGCTGGCACCGTGAAGATTAGTCAAGTTCCTCCAGCTCTGGATTATGTTGCTTGCAGGCCAGCAGGTTCCACCCCCGAAGCCAAATTCCAAATGCACCATCCCCTTCCACTGCCCCCTGTTTGCGCAAGCGGCCTTGTCGAGCTCGCAGCTCGCAGCTCCCTTGTCGCCAGTGTGCCCCATTGTTTCATGAGGCATCCCAGCACATAGTTCTCTGTTGACACATACACGTAGTCAGGGAGGAGAAGTCTGGATGCATGCTTTGGGATCTTATGTTCACCATGACAAGGGACGAGATCCATGGCTCAAGCTGTCCTACGCCCTCAACGCGAAGCCGAGCCAGCCACCCCTCAAAAGGAACCTGCAGCACACTCGGCAAACCGTTCCCAGCAGCCTCACACTCTCAGAGCCGACGCCCAAACGACGCCACAAACGCCACAAAACCAGGAGCCCCACATCATGGAGCCGAGATGCTTATACATACATACATACATACATACATACATACATACATACATACATACACACACATATATATATATTTACATGT